GCGTTGTTGATTTATGTGGTGGCTAAGTTAAAAATTGCGAATTGCGTTTTTATATGTCTTTTTTCTCGCTTGTACGTTTTCTCGTGGCGCTAATATGGAACTCGGAAGCACCGTCCACCCATATTTTATATTGTGGAAATTTTAATAAAAAGAGTAGTGAACCTCACGGCCAAGCAATGGCCCAAATCGTGTCAAAAGGTGTATTGCAAAGTGAGAAAATCGCCCCAGAATGTGAGTGCTACTGAGGTCGCCACGCCCATCAATGTCGGTGGCTCAAAATAATGAGCAACCTCTTATTGTTAGTAGTGCCCAAATGTCGAAAAATGGTTTTTCATTGTGAAAACACATTTTCGACATGCAAATAAGAGAGTGAGTCTGAGGTCCAATTTCAGGATTATTACCTTTAGACCACAAACGCTAATGGGCGTGGCGACCCTAGCAGCAGAAACCCAGCGTTTTTACCTTTTAGAGAATTGCTGAAACGAGTCTCTCAGTGACAAGTATTATGTATACCATGGACCTTGCTACCTTTCCTTCACAGGAATTTTTAAAAGTAGATATTTTCTAGCTTTTTGAGTGATCACAGGTTAAGGGTGAGTGGGCGGGAAATATAGCAAAAGCGGGGTTTCCCATACCCTAAGCAGACTTCTTTCTGGCAATTGTGTTCTGACCCACATGGGACATTGCTTTGGCGGAAGTTCCATAAAATGAATTGAAATCTTACAGTGTTTACTTCTGCCCGATATGTTTTCGACACATTTGCGCTCTGTAAATTTTCATCGTAAAAAATCTATGAAGTGTAATGATGGTGTTGTAGATTTTGACAAATGGCTTTGAGAAGTTTTGAGTACCGCACTTCATAGGTGGTTCTGAGTACGAGTTTATCTATAAGAGAGCCTAGGAACGGATACAAAAGAAGATACTGCAAAATGCGAAAAATTCTTTGGGTGAAGGGGGGCTGGGGAGGAGAGGGGAGTGGCCTGACGAAAATGCTTCTACAAAGAAGAGGCTTGTGGGCCTACGACTCCGAAATTTTAGATTTTCGAAAAAGGTGTGGGGATATACACTGTCACCTGGAAATGGTAATGAGACTGACTTTCTTTTTTCGTCTTCCCCCTCTTCTTCTCTTACTATACTACTCTATCCTTGGTAATCTAGCGACTGTTTTCAGTTGAAATAAATTTTTTCATTACGCTAGAATTAGCATGGTCTTTAGCAGCACGAGGACCGATCTTTGGTTGGAGGCTAAAGTGCCCTCATTGTTTTAGAGACTCAGGACCAAACACTCCTCCATTGATTGCTTGTACTATATCTGATCTTTGTGCGATTTCCATCATCAGTTCTGAACTTTTCTTAATGTACGTTTTATTGCAAAGTCATCAGCTCGAATTTTTAAAAGATTGGTCATTTTGATCGATTGGTCATGGAAATATCATGGGCAATGTTGACATCCTGAAAAATACGAGTTATATGAAAATTACATTCCGTCAGCAATATGTCCGTAATTCAGCGAATACCCACGCATGTTATTTGTTTTTATCTCCTATACATGCATAATTAGAAAATTCTAGCAATTTTCTAATTCCCCTGCTGAATGGATACAGCCAAATGAGCGTGTTCAACTGGGTCATGAACAATTCCATCGAACGATAGAAAAAGACCGTAAAATTCATTTCATGCATGAAATAGGTCGTCTACCTATGCAATTGACTGTAATGATCTAATAATTCGCGTCGACTTTCGAAGAAGCAGCTTTTCGGGTATCTTTGAGATCTGATATGATATGGTAATACATTATCGTGGTAGAGCTTTCGCACTATTCGTACTTCCGTTCGATTTACTAGTTGTTTTGTCCTGAGTAGAACTAGATTCATTTCTACTATAATTAGAGCTATTTATTATATTGCGCCACAAAATTGATGATATTCTGGAGTTGAAGATTTAAGAGATTAGGCTGAGCATGTCGAATGTCAAATAATATTTTTTTGACGAAGATGTTCAAGCTCAAACAGTAAGTTCAAACAGTATTTTTTTCAAAGAGATCGATTTCAAAATTTTTCAAGGTTTCTACGCGCGGCATCTTTCATTTTTCCTTTGTTTTTCTACTACGAATTGAGCTGTACTCAATAACATGAACACTATTCTCTTTTGCTGAATTGTGAAGAATGGTAAAAGTCCATCGAAGCCTCCTTTCTTTCCTACCCCGTTTGATTTTAGTTCGTTATGCCTAATTCCATGCTTATGATCTAGGAATACACCAATGTATCTCAGAAATTTGCATATAGGGTGTCCCAAAAAAACCGGATGTTTGATTGCTAGTGACTCTCTTCTCTTATAGAAGTTAAAGCTAGCTCCACAAGAAGGTTCCTGAAATTTCGCGAAAGCTATGAAGAAAAGAGAATTAATGGCAGTCAACCTGCATGTTGATTTTGATAAAAAAATTGGATTATCAATGCAGAATACATATTTCGCAAACTAGTTATGCATACATTTTCGCTTTCTGAAGCTGGAAAAAGAGTTTCCGGTAGATAATCGCTCTCCTATAGAGTAAATGATAGCTTTGCCAACGGGACTAGATGATTTACTAGTTCTAGCCCTTTCAGTGTTGAGAGTAAAGATTTTCTCACAATTTAGCTTTTCCTTTTCCAGCATGTCCTTCTGGGCCAAATTCCAGGGGTCATAGCTTCTTCTTGGGCTATCTAGCGATCTGTATGCGTCGCATCGGCGCTACCACCACCGCAATTTCCTGTTCGAATCGTTCTCTGTGACGACCTCATTTTCTGCGTTTTTAGCCTTCTGTACGGCTAGTCAGCTCGTTTGTCAATCTTCATAACTATGACCAGTTGTTGTCTGTGCTGTGCCTCGCCCTCACCCTCACTCACCTCCATACTAGGAATGGAGTCAGTTTACATGTGTTCTTGTTTTCCCCGGTGCTCTACTAGCTAGCTTTCTGTTTGCCGAGTTAGTGCAGCTCTGCAGAGTGACGAGGTGAAAAATGATGTTGGCATAACGCTAGGATTAAAAGTGCTACACTTTGAAAGGATTAGCTGAATGCATCGAGCAGAGCACAGCACAGCGGCTCGCGATATACATCCAGCTGTGTTTGTTTAGAAATTTTTGCATTAATATTCCATTATTACGAATAATTTTCTTAAAATCGTTCGGTTACTACCTAAGAGCATTATGCAAGCTATCGGCTAAATGTCTCAATCTATCTTATTTTTACCTCGATATGATAAATGTTGAAGATTCTAGCATGTACCATTTTTGCACAAAATTTTTTGAGATTTTGTAATTTTAGCGAACTCTCTAAGGAAGTCGTCTGGTTTGCTACATAGAGAAGAGAAATCTTGCGCTTTTTGGAAATCGCATTGTTTAGTTGCGTACGGCAGCGATACCCCAATTGAAAAGAAAACATTCAACCAGTATTTTTCAAATTATAGTAGTATAGTCTTAGTTCATGACATACCATCTACAACCAGGAAAACTGTGTGATGATCAAATGTTCAATAAATGTCTCTACAAACAGTTATACTTTTCAAATTCCTTCGACGTTTTGTTTACTTCAAAGTATTATAAAGCATTATATCTAATTACATGGCAAAGAGCATTTTTAAATTCATTACTTTGTAATAGCATTTATCAAAAGCATTTTCTACATTCTTTTGCAAGGACTACGCATTAATCCATGTATTTATTCTTTATCTTAACACACCCGAGATATGAAAATTATTGATCAAATGGAAAATATCAAAATCACGATTATCATGAAATTTTCGTTTCGCCCTCAAAATTTGCTTCGATTCCAATGCCTTCGATTCGCGATTGTGTCCGCGTAAAAAATGTTTTTCATAGATATATGCATGGAATTTTTTCTGCAAATGGACTACAAACCACTAAACTTCAATGTAATAAAGTGCACAGTTCGATATGTACTTTGAATTCAGGTTTCCGCATTCTCATTGCATTTCATTTCCGTTGCAGAAAGCAGCCCTTATCAGCGATGTTTTCCATTCCTGAGCGACTCCCTCATATTTCACACTTCTGTGCAATTCTCCTCTGTATCGATTTCATTTTTCTTGAGATTATACATAATTCTTCCTGAGAATAGCTTCTTAGTCTGTTAGGGCGGTAATCACATTTTATGATGTCATGAGGATAATTGTACGCGTTGGAAACAGATCTTCTGCGAACTTTTTGGGTAGTTCTCTGGCTAATGTGGAAATCTAATCTTCATAACATTTTAGCTTTAGCTTGTGTTTACCTACGCAGACATCCAAAGTTACAGACTAATAGCTCGTCCAGAGGAAAACTTGTTTTCAAATGAAGTAGGACTGCGTTTTAAAGCAAACGCTTCGAAATAAGGTACCGTATACCTGCGCTAAAATATGTAAAAGCTCAAATGGACTTCATGGTCTCATAGCATAGTCCATAAATTCAAGGCTTTTAGCTTTGGAATCTAACGCCCATTTCATTTCATTCTAGACACTCATCGCTCTCATTTTCTGCTTATTTGCTTTGATGTACATAGCGAGGAGGTTGGGGGGAGGGATAGCGAAAAAAAGGAAATCTTTTCACTTTTAAAGCTTTCAGAAAATGCTTGCGAGTCTCAGAATCTTATCATGCGTTACCTGATCTTGCAAAAAAACATTTTCGTTCCATTCAAAATTTGGAGCGATAAACAGAGATGAGAAATCAATTTTGCACTTTTTATGTTGAATGTCCATTAAGCTGGTGCCAGGGAACTTGTGGGAGAAATGGGAAAAGCAAAAGAAGCGTTAGAATGGTTGGGAACTTTCCCAGCTATAACGAAACCAATATCGGTACAACTTAAAAGCCTTTCGTCTGAATCCAAGACTATGTAAAATGTCTGTCACGACATCCACAGTGATGCCAATTTTCTATGTTTTCCGCATTTTTTCGCGAAACACTTTTTGATTCGATTTTTCCAGCCTCGTTGAAAATTTCTTCTACGAAATTTCCGGGAAATAAATGCATATTTCAGGGTAGATGAGTAGTGACGTCCGTTCACCGGACGTTGTTACCGCGCCATGTTTTCCAACAAATCCAGAAATTCATAAATTAGGACAAGGTAAACAGGTGAGCTAAAAAGAAAAATTTTCAAAAAGGTGGTGCTTTCTGGTTCGGTGCAAAGCTATAGAGTCTCTTCTCATTCGAAAAACTCAAACCAATTTTTGAAGTCTCAAAATTGACTGCTTTGTCCCCATCGAAAGTACAAGTGATAATCAAATTCTTCCAGCATGTTCTTGCTCACGAAATTGGCCAAGGCTCACCATGTCGCAACTGCAACTGCGAGGGATTGGATTTACATTTCTGGCGGTAAGTTTTCATTTCTAAATTTATTTTTTTGTGCTACAAAAAATGTACGAAAAAATCTTGTGTTTGACGAAAAGTTTTATCATATCACTTAGCGCCGTAAAATAATTTTTTTAGAGAACAAATCCAGTGAGTAATTTGAATATTTTCATAAAACTTGAGCAATGTAAACACTTTAACACTTTGGCTTCCATTTACTTTAAAGTAGATTTGCGTAAAAGTAAACAAATTTAGAAAAACTTTTGAAATATTCCTTGCATAGTAGTCAAGGAGCTAAGCTTCTTCCATTCGTTAATGATGAAAACTCCTCTACCGGTTCCTTCGAACGGCTAGTACAAGTTCGAAACCAGAGATTTCACATAGAAATGGCGAAAAACGTCGTATCTAGCAAACCAGCAAGCAAAACGTATGCTAGCTGCCAATCTAATGATTCATTTGTTACATTCATATTCACGAGGAGCTGCAAAGGATTCTTTCCATTCGTAAAGCCTTTCTTTCAGTTTTGAAGCTTTCTATACTTTGATTCAAGCTATTGTTTTTCACAAATAGATTCGGTATATGCTTTTTATGCAAGCCTTTCTTTGCAGGAAAATCTGCAAAAATTGCGGGTGCCGGATGGACGAACACGACGTGCAGTTGCCGAACCAGTACGATCATGGACAGATTATCATAGGTAAATGAACACTGGTTTTTTTTGTTTTCCGTTCGGGGTAAATGAGGTGCAACGAAAAAGGAGATGAATATTCAAAATTAACACTTTTTCCATTGCTAACCACTGCATCTGTTTTTGTGAGCATTTGGTAAATTTTCTATGAACCTTCCCAAAATCATGAATTATGTACATGGACAAAAAATCCAATATTTAACTACAGACAGAAAAAATCCAGCTATGAATTACTAGCAAGGAAAAAACAACAATAATTTGAAAAGCGAATCTAATCAATCGATATTGATCATATATATTGTTACTACAACATCTTCGATGAAGGTATATGTAGATACCATAATCATTAACTTACTACTCTTTTTGATAAGCTTCAGTAGGGGTCAGACAATTTTTTTTGGGAAAGAGGTCCGGAAGAAATTTTTTCTTCTATTGAAGGGGTGTGGTGTGACAAGCTTCCAAGTTGCTTTTGAATGCCTTTCAAATCTTTTTGTTAGCCTGAAAGGAAATTTTTTTGTAGAGCTAATGATTATTGAAAAAAAATAAAAAATATTTTGATCAAAGTAAAGACTAGTCGCTTGAACAACTTTATAACATAGGCTACCTTCAAAGTTTGGCAAACCAGATTTGGAGAGCAAGGGCTAATTTTTGAATGTTGCACATGAATTCTTATTTCGAGCAAAACTCGACGGAAATTATTTCAAGAAAAATTGCTAATGGATTTGATCTTTTCCAGGTCGACTATTCCATGGCACCAAAGACAGATTTGAGCAAAAAATTATGGAACCTTTGAAACTTCGCACAATTAATGAACAATCACCATTATCTGGTTCACTTTCTGGTTCATCGCTACCAGATACCCCGCAATTTACTCCACCAAGTAAAAGTGGATCAATTATCGAGGTATGTTTGGCAAAAAATCGTTCGTACACGGTTATATTTCACCCTAGAAAGGGTTTTTTATGCAAAGATACGATTTCCATTGAGTGGACTGGCTTAGAAGCACTTTAGTATCAGCAAAAATCCTATATATTTTGTAACATTATAGCCTGTCAGAGAGCCCCGGTCAGCATTTCAAATGAAATGTCAACAGATTATGCAAAAAGCATTACTATTGATCCCGCTGAAGATCTCGGATTGCGAATTAAAAAATTAGAAGTTTTGAGGTGAAAGATGAAAAGAAAAGATAATCTCGAAAAGAACTGGAGTTGGAAATGTGTACGAAAAAATTGAATTTCACAGTTCCCGTTGCAACTTATTAATTCCTTTCAGTTCTTACAGCTATGCTTCAAAATCCCGTGCAATAAAATTTCTTTTCAGGACCGAACACTTCCAACAGCTGCCTACAACTTCAAAGTAGAAAGCGGAAAAGAAAATCACAAGGCAGGTTCACTAATATATATTGATTTTATCAACATTGAAAAAGGGTAGAAGAACGTCCCACAGGGTGCCGGCTCCAGTACTACTGTTCCTGACACGGAATGCAATAGCATGTGCGAAAGGAACAGTAGTCGTGGGTGGCGCCTATTGGCGGTACCGTTTGTGTACACCAGAAGTGTGCCATTTATTATAGCTTTTCATTGGTTCAATCAATTCAAAAATCTTCCAATAGCGGAAGACCGAGGGCGGTCCCAGCGCGCGAATGCAATTTAGCACCTTTAATTAGTGGTTCACTAGTAACAGAGAAGAAATAACTCGAATCATCATGTTTTGAGCAGGATCGTTAATCAGCTGCAGATTTTATGTTATTTCTGCAATTGCACCAAAACCAACAGATAACTATTTTTATTTTTTTCTTCAAAACAATTTTTTCTCCGACTCTAGTAATTCACGTATAAGGATCATCTTTGTTTTCTGGATTTTTCCAGTTTGCATGGATTATTTTTTCCTTCAATTTTTTTTTGAATTTAGCGCATGATTTACATTTTTGAGACGCTTTTTCTGTAATTGCAGACAACTACCGAGTACAGTTGGGTACCGATACCAGACAAATCTCTGGTAGAGCGCTATATGCGAGCGCTTCCCGAGGATGAGCGACCAGTTGTTGGCTCTGTCGGAGAGCAGAATCGAAAATCTCGACTACAGTTTCAATTGCCGCTTTACGACTGTAACGTCGAAGATGCACGATTCGCCGACGATAAGGACAAAGAAGTGTTACGACGATTTGTGGAGAATGTCCGCAAACACGTAAGCGAAGAGATTTTACACCTGCACTCCCTGTATGACATTAAAATTTAGGTGATTGGTGTCGGACAAGTGAAAGAAGTCAAACCGAAAGAGAGCGTGATATCCGCAGCATCGCAAACCGATGGGGATCTTGATGAAATTGCTCGCAAAATTTCAGACATTGATTTACAAAATGTTAGATCTAGCATTTTTAAGCTGAGCATTTTTTGAGAATGTTATCGCTTTCAGCAGTGCAAATCTTGCACAAAACAAATTCCAGTTGGCGACGTTGGCATCAAAACGGATCATGGTCCAAAAGAGGTAAAGAATCTGTTGAAATTTGACACTGAGGTTGAGGAGGCAAAGTGAGATGGGTCATAAAATTAGGAGAAGGGACAACAATACTGTTTTGAAACTAGTACAAGTGACCCATTGATGTGGCAGGCACTGTTCTGGCAGTGACAGATCCAGCCATCCCCCCTTCCTGAAAAACGGTCCCGAAAATTTTTAAATTTATTACTTCTTGGCTTACAAAAATGTACAACTGAATTATTTATACTTTCAAAAGATTGAGGAATTTTTAAGTTACTTACTTGGGTATCGAAAATATACAGGTGACTTGTTTATGCTTCTAGAAGATTGCACTGATTTTCAAAAATTTATTGGAAATCAAATTAGCCTTGCAAAAAAATTCGCGGCCGTGGCTGCCGGCGACCATTAAAACTTCGGGGACATGGGCTCAAAGAAATCTTGCGAAGTATCCCAAGAAAATCTCCGGAGTGCGTGGCTGACGTCACGCATCTTCAACCAAAAATTTTCTTTTGCCCCTCCCCCCCCCCTTGAATATCCTGGGACTGCCACTGCTGTATGCGTATATGGACCAAATGCAGCTTCAGACATCTTTCTGGCTCTGTCGTCTTTGTCGGGCATCCAGATTTTTTTTCAAAAGTGGCGAATTCAAAAAAATTTTAAGAAACAGAATACAATGCCTATACTTACTTACTTACCGAATACTTAGAACATAGCTCACCTCATCGTAAAAAATTTGTTAGTAACCACTGTTGACTTTTGGCTTCGTTGAGGTTGGTCTCTGGAGGTGGATAGTTCAAAACTTTCTGTTAGTTTGGGGACAAGTTTGGTGTGCGATCACACTGCACCTTCACTATCAAATAGCCATAATAATAATAAAAGTGTTTATATTTATGAAATTATATCTTCCTATCCTTGTACAGTGAAGTGTCGCTTTGTTTGTATTAGGTTGAACCGAAACTTCGTTCGCACCATATTCAAAAAATCATAACTTCTTTCCATCACGACGATTCCGCGCAATTTAAATTTTATTAGAAAGCGTAAAGCATGCAGTTTCCAATGGTCCCCTGGCGACTTTCCACCATTTTCAGATTGCAGAGATAAAAATGAAAGAAAGAAAACATCCGAAATTCGGAATTTTTGAGCAAAAATTCTAAAAATCTAGAAACTGCGCGATAAAATCCAGAAAAGCCTAATTTTTCTTGTATTTTATTACTAACTGAGTTAAGTTTGTGCTGATCGAGCTCTTCTTTCAAAAGTTATGATTTATTGAAAAAAAATTTCGAAAAATCACTTTCCTAAGAAATTGATTTTTCGGCACTGTTGGAAACTACATGCTTTACGCTTTCTGATAAAATTCAATTTGCGCGGAATCGTCGTGATGGAAAGAAGTTACGATTTTTTGAAAATGGTGCGAACGAACTTTCGGTTCAACCTAATATTTTGTCCTCGGAACTCTTCAGTATGGAAGGATGGTTGTAGTTCGCTATAAAATGGTTTTCAAATATAAAATCCACTTTATAATTTTGATTTTCAAGTTCTAATACAAGGAGAATTCAATGCGACAACGACAAACCAATGCGCAATTAAACTTCTAAATTTTAGGATATTTGGCATCCGAATTGTTTCCGATGCGCACAATGCGATCAATTGCTGGTGGACATGCTGTATTTCTACTACCAAGGTAGGTAAACCTCTCCCCTTACCCTGTGGTAATGCGATTGTGGAGATCATTCCTTGAAGAACGATACATTTGTTCAGGAAAGTACTATTGCGGCAGGCATTTTGCTGATCAGCAGTATCCTCGATGTGCCGGCTGCGATGAGGTAAACCAGTATGAAGTATCTCATTTTTTTAAAATTGTTCAACTCCTTTTATTGCAGCTGATTTTCGCCAGAGAATACACATATGCCGAGGAGAAGTCATGGCATTTTGATCACTTCGCTTGCTACAAATGTGACTTTCGTCTCGGTGGCCATCGTTATATGACAAAAAACGACCAACCACACTGCATCGACTGCTATATGAAATATTTTGCAAAGGTGCGTGGGCCTTAACTCCATTCACTGAACTGGGGACATAATCCCAAATGGTGGATGCCTTAACAATAAAAGCTGCATACAAGATGTCCCAAAAATGTGAACACTGTTTGATCATTGATACCTATTCTTTCGAGTCTTTCGCCGAACTTGAGGTATCACTCCGCGAGATTCAGCTTAGATTTACAGCATGTAGCGAATCACCAGTCATTCTTCATTGCTGTAGGATTACGGTACGAACTTCGAGAAGAATTTTAAGAACTTGAAGGCGATTTTTGCCTTAGATGGAAAAGCAAACAAGCAGATACTCTTGTACTGGACTTCGAAGTCGCTGATTTTAAATATGGACGTTGCACTCCACTGTAATGCTACTTTCATAAGTTAGTTCAGGATTAGGGTAACAACTGTTTCTCCGGCTTTCATCCGAAGTGTGATTATATTATGAAAAAAGTTCGAAAAAGAAAAATTGGTAAAAAGATGTGTAGTAAAATCAGCACGCCTGAAAATCTTATTAACAAACGTTTTTGGAATATTTTCCATAAAAAGACCTCTTCTACAATAGCGCTGTATGCTGGAACTTCACACCGTAATACTACAGCAACGGAGAGTGACTTGTAATTTGCTCCATAGTAAACCTAAGTTGAACCTCGCTCTACGGAATGGTACCACAGCTCGGCGGAAGACATAAAACAACGTCAAACATCGTTCACAATTTTTTGGGACACCCTGTAATTTTTACCTGGAAATCGTGATAACACTCACTCCATATCTTTTTGGGAGAGGAGGGAAATGAGTGAAATGCCTGACTGGTACGATCTATTTTATAGTAAAGATTTGTAATTAATGCAAATATTTCTTAGGCAATATTTCTTGCTGCCTTTATTCGGTGTTATTATTGTGCGTGACCTCGACTTCGAACTAATATGCCAAAAGTGTTGCCTAGGAATCTAACTTTTGATGAGAACATCGATATTTGTGACGCCACCAATACATGAAAAGCATGAGCAGGTCACAATACGAGATTGAGTTGGTGTTCTCCACAGTGTTCGCTTCGGAGCCCTTCCGAAAAGGTTTCAAAACGTGGCCGTACCTGAGACATAGATTTTTCTCTCTTTCATATACCATTTGTTAGCTTCTTAGTTTTCGAGAGCAAACAAATCGCTGACTTAAAGAAATCTTTGATGGTTGTAGTCCTCTTACAGAAAAGGATACTTGGTGACCCCGGCCATTTGGAATGCGATGTATACCATAAGATGCACCTCGAAGTGCTGATTCTGAATCTGCGCTCGAAATCTGCGAAACGATTATTTAAGGCTATAAATTTTTTTTTCGTAGAAAACTTGCGTACTTTCAGGTAGTCAAAATCACCCAAACTGATCTATTTTACCGTTCGAAGCTATTGAGGAGAATCTTGAAACGTTGTATTTATACCTATCTAAGTCATATTTAGCATTTGTAGATGAAAGCAAAATTTTTATTAATGATTTTTACCTCCGCAGTAGCGCAATTCATTTTTGAAAAAATAAATATAATTCCATCCAGGTTTTTGTTTCGCAGATGTGGAAAGCAGTATTCGGACCAGCATTAAAAGGCGCATTTTTTGATATACAAACCATTATGAATGACCGGGGTCACCAAGTATCGTTCCCTGTTTCGTCCATTCTTTTGATGTTGGGGAAATGCCTTGATTTTCAAAATGACACCTTCAGAATTGCGATACATGTGGAAAAAAGATCGGTCCCGATGAGAAACGCCTCAACTATCAAGATTATCATTGGCATGCAACGCAAGAGTGTTTCCAGTGAGTCTAAAATAGTATGTTTTTCTTCGTACCGTCAATTTCCTTTTTAGTTGCCGGCAATGTCATAAAGACCTGATCGGTAAGAAGTTTATCTTCAAGGATCATCATCTTTTCTGCTCGTCTCAGTGCAAAGCCGATTTCCAGGTAAAGAAACCTTGACACTTGATTGCCACAACTTTTATTTCTGCTAATAATGCCAATATGCTCGCCATTGTTTGATCTTGCTTTCAATGTCCATAGATTTCATTGTTTTTATTTCTTCCTGCCTCTCGCCAATATCTTCTTTCCTGTTGGATTCGTCGAATGGTTCTTGTGATATCTGCTACACACATTCTTGTAAGTTTTCTCTTATGTGCACACTCACTGATGAGGACTTTGCGGGCTTGTACAGACAAATTGTGATGCAAATCGCTTTATGTGATAATCATTAATCAATAATCATAAACATTGGATGAAATCCGTTTACAGTGAAAACCAGGGAGATCAAAAATACATCACATAGAAGCAACAAATAGTATGAACAAATAATAATGATCCTGATCACAGACAGTATAAAATTTGAGCTCATGTGAACGATACGCAGTGTTAACCTTTGATTCAGTTGGCATGGCTGCAGGAAGGCGGAGCTCTGTGACCTAATTAAGGCCGCCCACGCCCGCGATGCACCTGCGTCCCTCGCGCGCGAGTGCTCTCTGATCATCACTTAGCTATAATTAGGTCACGAAGCCCCGCCTTCCTAAAGCCAAACCAGTTGAATCAAATGGTACCACGAACGATATGTGTAAGCTGTAATCTGTGCCCACAGTTGCCCGTGTCAGAGCCGTGCCAAAGCCGTTCCACTTCGTACTATTTTATCGATCTTAGGCCACGCCAATGCGCTGGCACGACGTTGACACGGCGCTGGAACAAGGCTGGCACTGCGCCAAGTGGGCACTCTGGACGCAGCTTTACAGTGAAACATAATCAATAAAAGACAAAATAACTCAGTAAAACCCGTAAATGAGTGAATCGCCCATCAGCACATGATGGGCCGCAAAAAAAATATAAACAGCCTTAAAATACCTAACTGAGCCTAGACAATCCGAGCTATTCCGCTAGCGACGATGAAAGCGTTCGCTTTACTTGCATCTTTATTGATCTTCCGTTCCAGTGCTAGAATCGTCGCGACAGTTTCGTTGAGCTTCTTGTAGGAAACCTAAATTTTGTTTTTATATTTTGGAAAAGCTGTATATGTAACGTATCTAATATATAAAGAATCGCTAGCTCCAAAAATCTTCCAATAGCGGGAAACCGTGGTGGGTCCCGAAGCGAAGAACGCTCTTCGAAATAGCACCTTTAGATTACTGGATCACTACTCTAATATAAAGAATCGTAATGCCAATTCAAAAAACATCACATAGCGGGAAACCGGGTGCGGTCCCGAAGCGCGCGGATACATTTTATGTCTTTAATTACTGGTTCACTAGTTTTTATAGGTAACAAACCGGTAAAGTGCTAGACTTTTAGCTCACTAATTGGTGTTTAAAAGTTTTAAGAGCAAAGATTTAAAACAAAAAAAAATCCCCCTCCCCTCACACTCGTCTTCTTTCCAGGTCTAATGTTTAACTTATTTATAAAGTTACCTCGTTTCATTTCTCGAATGATGATAGCCATCAGCTTGTTCCATCCGATGGTATACAAACAACCACGTTCGATAGCTGATCGCGACGATTCCAATGTCATCTGAAAAGATGATAATCAAGTTTAAAACCTATAAAAAACGATACCAAAAGTTAATACCTCTGTTACAACAAAATCTTTCGAAGGCGTGAGGCTAAACATGGACGCCTTCTTTTGCATGGCGATAACTTGCTCAACCGTAACTTTCTTAAATGTTAACCAATTGTCAGCTCCAAAATTTACTCCTCTGCAAAGGAAAATTAATCAGTAGCAGTGTGTGTCTATAAGAAATGGGCTAAATTTACTTATAGTAGTGGATTTGTCCTATTCTGTTTGCCATATGATGAATTGTGCTATCGGGGCATGTACCTAATGATGCAACGACTGTGTCGAGGAAATCTTGAATGCGTTTAGCCTGGAAAAATTTGTTGAATTCTGTAACCCTTATATAGGTGTGGAATTTCTTACCTGGGCAATGAATGTTTCGCTTTTCCTCATTTCTTGCATATTCGTAGAATCAAAGCCATAATATACGGCAAACGAAGGTTTCTTTTCAATAAGTGCATAAAGAATTTTCGTGCCAACGTCTCCATTACGAGCTCTGAAACGGACCAAGAAAATTTTTACAAAGGAGAGAATTTGATGATTCTTCTAAGCCGTCGGTATCATTAAAAATAGACAGAGAAAGAATTGACTGAAGAAAATCGTTACTCAATGGGACTTAAGAATATGCATATAATTTTACTTATTTGCACAATAATATACAGGGTGTCCCAAAATAATGTGCACACTGTTTGATTTTGAATAACTCTCTTACTATGAGGTCTTTCGAGAAGCGGTAAGCGTTATTTTATAGATCTGGCTTTAACTTAGATTTGCAGTATAGAGCGAATCACCGAACGCTCTTCATTACTGTAGGATTACGGTAGAAAGTTGAAAGAGGGTTTTGGGCCATGAAAGGTCATATTTTGCCTCATAAAGGAATCAAAACAGCCTGAAAACTTTTACACTAGGCCAATTAGAGTTGCTGATTCTATCTGTAAAGTTTCCAACTTATTATGATGCTTCACTGAAGAGTTATGCGAGGTAAGCAGTAGCGGCCATTTTCTCAATGTTCCTAAAAAGTGCGATTACACCATTTAGAAAGCTTCGCAATCTTGAGAATAGTTGAGTATTGAACTCAGCGTCCCTAAAAACCCTATTACACAAGTTTTCACACTTTTTTAAAAATTTTTAAAACGGCACCTTTTTCCACAGTGACACCATATGTTTCAAGTTTCTACCGTAATCCTACAGTAATGAAGAGCGTTCGGTGATTCGCTCTACACTGTTAATCTAAGTTGAAGCCAGCTCTACAAAATGGCGCTTACCGCTTCTCGAAAGACCTCATAATTAGAGAGTTATTCAAAATCAAACAGTGTGCACATTATTTTGGGACACCCTGTATTTGTAGTAAGTTTTTTGATCTAAGACTTTTATAGAGGATGCCCTAAAAATCCCATTTCTGTTTTAATTTTGAACTTGGTAAAAGAAATTGTTTTTTACCCATGAGGAAAACTTCTAGAAACTTACTAATATCAAAATTTCTTGTATTTCACTGATTATGTGAAACTAAAAAGCTTCATCTATGTCTTTTATAATAATAAGGGCCCTTTTCTCATTTTTTATACCCCCTAATAAGTCCCCTTTTTCGTTTTTCTGTCCAATGTCCAGAATAACTGCTGACGTTTTGCGTGGAAGTGGGGGGCTCTAATTTGGATGCAAGAGTAATGAGAGGGCCAAAAATAGCCGTCGTCATTTATCGAAAGTACATAGCTTATAACGAGATGACCGAACATACGAACGTACTAGCTTCGCAATATTTAGAACGAGGATCTCACAAGGCCCCCGTAATTCAACTAATTATCGAGGGATTAAGCAAATATGCAAAAGAGTGCATTCTTAGGCTGTTATGCATGCTTTTTGTGCAAAAATTTCATGTTGAAACGCTTTTTACCCTTTTTCCGGAGAAAAGGGGCTATAAAAACTCAGCATAAACATGAAAGGCTAAAATTTCTATTGAAAGTATAATACAATAATTGCGAAATAAACTTTATTTTGAAAAGATCCTGTAAAAATTTACCTTGCCCACACATCTTTCACTGCTGCAATTTCCTGATCGCTTAACTCCGAGGTACTCTCGCCTTGAGTTGCACAGAATATTAATTTTTGTAGTGCACGTGGAATCATTCCTGAAAAAAGAACTTTAGAGTTTTGGCAAATTTCCAGACCAACATGTGTATGCGTTTCGAAAAAAACGTATTTGGAAACGAGTACGGGAGTATTAGCCTGGACAAATCTTCAAAAGAATCAGATAAGCTAGAGATCAAAACTAAAAATGGTAAGGAGGGGGGGGACTGCTTTTAGCAAATCCAACAATGACCAACGTTCTTGCTAACCTTGTTCAAAATGGCTATATACCTTGATTATTGCGTGACATTCATTCTCTATGGTAGGGTTTACGGTAGGTATACGGTATGTGATTAAAATTACAAAATTTGCCTTAAAATTGCCTTATGAGTAGTACTTACAATTCTGATCACAAAAATCATGTTCATTTTTTGCGATAGTGCCCTATGTATATCAAAAAAATAGACGGAAAGAAAGTTCCAGCAATAAAGTAAAATGGTACATGAAGAGAGCAAATCAGCAAAACAAGGAGTAAAAAATGACTTTCCAGTCTCAAGAAAACTTATGGCTCAAACTTAAAATGTTAGCAAGGAAATGAAATGCTTGATATCAACAGAATTCAATTGTACTTTTAGTCTAACAGATGTGAATGGTAATGGCGAGATTTTATTACAATATGCTAGCTCCCCTGGGAAGCTGATCGACAAGTACTTAGCGTTGGCGGAAATGGTTGCTTGAGTTTAACATATATTGGGAAATTACGAATGATAAGCGGAAAGACTGTCTGGGGTAAAATTTGAGATTTTCTTTGCAAAAATGTAAGAAATCTTGTGGCGGGACTGACGTATGAGAGAAGCAGTGCCTCCGATGCATTTCGCCCTGAGCTTCTAATGCATTTCGAGATACGAAAAACAAGAAAAAACGTCACTTCGTGGGAGGCTAGCTTTTTCATGAATTGCTTAAAGGATGTGCTACAAAGGATTCGCCATAGATCTGCAGTTTAATCCTTTTCCACTGCTTTTGGGAAACTATCGTTTTGATAATGGGCTCGCCCCAAGACTTTTGAACGTACTTCGAATGTTCACAAATTCTCGTGAAAGATTAGTTAGGCTTCAAATGGATGTAGCTTCACTTTTATCGTAGGTGCTCTTTGCAATTCGCATCCAGCAGATAAGATAATAATACAAAATCTTTTGATTTTTGATAGATGGAAATCAGTGAATTCTTTCGTTCTTGGGCTGAGAGTTGGAGTTAAAAAGTGTACACTCATTCTGAACCTCAGTAAGAAAAAAAGAGTTTGTAATCTGAATAGTTTTGAATACTTAGAGATAAGTTCATTTACGGAGTAAAAAGCGTATAGCTAGTAAATCGCTCTGAAACATGTTGAAAAGCGCTAGATTAACAACTATTTGAAAGATATAGTAAAATAATATTAATGGTTTTCAAATGTTGTTGAGTATATTAAACATAACTTCATTCAATTCCTACAAGCTTGCTTATAATCTTTTTTGAAGCTTTAACTGCTCAGAATAAAATAAAAATATGTTTGGTATGTTTTTGAATTTTTATTTTGATACCAGATATCTCAACATTTGAAAGGAGTTTCAACAGGCAAGCAATAGATTTTTTAATCGGAACACTCTTTAGATCAACCCTATCATAGTTCAGAAGCTCTGAGGAAATAAAGCAACCAATCTGGTACACAGACTTTGTTTCTATGATAAATTACGCAATAATTTATGAGTGCAAAGCAACATTAGCTGTGCCTCACACTGACATTTCATTTGAAATATGTCAAAAACCTTTCAACTTTGCAGGCTGCAAGTCAAAACTTTTTTAACTCTGCCAATTATAAATTCTGCCTCTCCGTCTGCGAATGCTCGAAAACTTTGCAGTCAGTTGAGTTCAGAGAACAATCGAATAATACCTAATAGAAAATTTTATATCTTTGCAGAAAAAATCATGTTTTTTTACTAAAGATGGAATGACGAATTGTTTACAGAGAGCCTTAAACATAATTAAGGCTTCTTGTCTAAGAACAAGAGGAAAATAGCAAAAATGGAGACGTATCAAATAGGATTTCAGTAGATAAGGAATTAGAGCTTTCAAAGGCATCACTTATTATATTTTCCTTGAAGTCACAAGAAAATGCATTTTGAATTTTCTGATTTCTCAGACATTGGAAATCAAAGGACCCTTCGGGTATGTCGCATCCTAGGCCTACTCTTTTTTATGCGAGGACTACAACAAGGGGTCATGTTTATGCTAACAAATTTTATTCTCAAATTCCTGGAGATCATATTTTGATGAGCATTATGTAAAACGAGCAAATCCGGTCTTCTGTACTATAGTATAAAATAGAAATAGTAAAGCAATGAAATGTTACATTTTTTTTCACAGTTTCGATACAACACACAACGTGAACAAAGTTTTATTGAAAACGAGAGCATACCGAAAAAGAAAATGATATCTCAGGTGATATAAGTAACGGTAGCGTGAATGTTTTCTTTGAAAAATTCGAAGAAGATTTAGAACTTGTGGAACACTCCATTATGAATTTGTTTACAGGATGATTTAGACTGAAAAAAAAACCAAGAAAATTCCTTCAATTTTGAATGCAAAACCCGCACAATTTTCTTTTCTTGAATTATAGGGGTTATAGGTCCATAGATTTTTTTAAGGTGTGGCCACCCCCCCCCCGAAACAATTTCGGAGCGCCAATTGCGATAGCGCCTGCAAAAACAGAAGAATGAGCATGCACTTGATATCACAGGCTTATATTTGGAGAGAAGTGGGTTCAAAAGGGCAGACTATGTGAAAACAATAAAAGCAATCATTGGACGGCTAATCATCTTTTAAAAAAAGTGCAGAAGCCCCGTCATGTTTACATTGAAAAATTATTTTCTTGATTAAAAACCGTTAATCAGTCACAAAAACACACAAAGGTCTTCTATAATGAATTGTACTCACAGGTATGCTCTTTTAGAACATACTCATATTACGCAACTACGATTAACATTTTACGAAATTTCTGAAGAAATTAGTGCTTAATGGGTTTGACAAGCAACTCATGCATGAAAATAGCAATGTGTCGTCCTAAAGCGTTATTTTCGGTCAAATTCAGTGGGTATTGAAATTGTACTTCTAGCCAGAAAGACTCTCATTGAAGACGTCACTACACGCCATTTTTTAATGCAGAAAAAACTCTCAAGAGCCAATGAAAAAACATGAGCGTCACTGCGGAAGTGGTAATGAGCTCCTTCGCGTAGAGTACATATCCGGGCTTCTTCTACGTACTAAGAATATCTTCTTGTAGAGAATAATACTTTGTTGACAACCTCATCCGAAACCCTACATGGCAGAGAGTAAAGACTAATCAAATTGGCAAGCAGATAAGAATCATTTCCTTGGAAGAAATATTTTGCCGTACTGGGCAGATTCGAAACGGGGGAATGACGCGTCGAAGGGGAAAAGGTATATACCGCAAGGAAAGAGGAGAGGGTAAGTTGGAGAAAAATGCTCTGAAAATGAAAAAAACCTGCTCTTGGCAGCAGTTGAATATTTGACGGACGCACATTTATGGTCAGCTACTTATGTAGCTTGTAGAAAGCTTATCCATGACGTACAAAAACGAATAAAAGTTGATTTCATGCAAGTAAGAAGTAAAAAGTGTTGCTGGCCTCTGCAAGATAGCTACCATTACAAAAAGTTTACAAAATTTATGAAGTTCCTGTAATAAAGGATGTGGACCCGCTGGATTGTGATGCTTACGGTCTACAAGGAATGACACCGATTCGTACAGTGCTAGAGTTTCTAGTTCTTCGCTGGATATCTATCATCATCAGCGCGAAGCCTGTCGAAAAGCCCTTACCCGCCCCAGATGGCGAAAAACATCGGTAAAATCCGCGAAAACTGTTCGGAAATAATTTTGAAGCTTTTTGTATGCTAGATATATAAAAGTATAACAAAAAGATAATGACTGCTAAGCTGCTGTACTTCAAAAATTTGGTTGTAGATTTTTTTCTGCCTATTCGCTTACCGTACTTGTCCCATGAATTTGTGTTTTGAGTCACAGTCTGCATTCTGTGTTCTTGAGAAACTGCGAATAGGAGGAAGGTGAACGTTTTTGATGGATGATTATGTAAGCTTTATGAAATTGTTGGAGAAATCAAACCACACATTTTTTTATGTCAGCAGGAACTAGCTCCCAGTCAGGAAATAAGTAAGACTTGCTTATCTGTGTGGACATAGCCAATAATGCACTTTTTATTATCTATAAGTCAAAAGATGCGCTACAAATGCAGGTTACAAATTTAGCAGTACTACAGTAATCCTGAGCCTGATGCAAATGCAGTCCTTAACGCAAGATTTGCTGCAAGATAATTGCTCAGGAAGCGATATTGCTCATTAGATGAGCAAAACGGTGAACATGACGTTATGCGTCTTCGCCTGTAAGTTGTTGTGCAAGGAAAAAACGTATAAGAAAATTTAAATTAAAAAAAAATTATTTCTTCCATTAGTTCTTAATGGAAAAAAACAAAGCATGAAACGAAGAAAGAAGTGATTGGTAAGAACTTGCGCAAAGCCTCATGTTTTATCGGATTTTTCAGCAAGTCCTAAGTCCACTACGAAACAAACAAAAGCTCCAACTACAATGACTACAAGGTACTCTTGAGATGTGCGGGTAAATGGGTGATTAGGGATTCTCACGAGTGCATATGGCTTGAGCTAACATTGAGAGAAGGCGTCAAGACATCATGTTTGATGTTTACCTTGTGAAGGACACCTAATTAGATACTCGGCTTTCGTTTCCTAATGAATGTGTTTAGAAGTCTAGATGAGTTTACCTGCACTTTACGTCTCAAAACCTAACTAGGCTCATTGAAATGTGTAAACACTCTGTAAGTACTGTATGCGGACGTTTTTCTCATTGGCGGCACCAAAGTTCAAAGATTTTCTGTTAAAGGAGTAAAAGCGTTACTAAATGATCCTCCCGCCACCCCCCCCCCCCCTCCAACCTTCCTGCTCTCAAGGCTTCGTCCCTAAGTTTGGGCAGAGCC